TTTCAATTCGAACCAATAGCTCCTGAGATTGACGTATTCAAACAAACAAACACATCAGCTTTATAATATTAGTATTTTCTGAACTGGTTAGTAGTATAAAACACGTTGTCTGGGATATCGTAGAATCGAGTAACTTTACCCTAAGTGGATTCAACAACTTATAATCGATATCTAAATTGAAAGCTCGAGGGTTGTTTACAGAAATAAACACTTGGCATGTAGTTTTTTTCCTACTTTAATTAACTAGTTTAGTAGTTAAAGTTACTATTGTTAGTTTATCTTGATATATATTAAATAGGATTATTAATAAATCTGGGAATAATGTAGATTTATATTAAAAAGTAGGTGTACCCATGACTTCGTTCGAGTGGAAATTAACTTAATTTTTCTAAAATAAAAGTAGCCTAAGTAATGTTGCAGAATTCCATGCGGACGAAGTCGCGTGTACAGCTAGTTATATAATAAATAAAATTCGATTATAATACCTTTTAATACATAAGTTTTAGTAGATATTTCTAATATAACAAAATAGTAGTTAGCAATATTTGTGTGTATTGGTTGTTTGGGCTATTGTCAGGTGCAAGGACCTGTAGCACTGCGACCTACATAGATCTATTGTACTCGTATCAGTTTGTAGCAAAATGGCGCTGTCAGTATCAAAAGTATTGCTTGCCTTGAAGTGTAATTGGTACAAATTGGTGGTAAAAAAAAGGTTGCGGCGACCGGCCGCCGCAACCTTTTTGATTATTTTATTATATTTAAATCTTCATTTTTAGAACAGTTCTTTTTATACGTCATGTTTTGTTATACGTTTTAATTATTCTCTTATTGTCTTTTGATAGTTTCGTAACTGCATATTAATATATTATATTACTAGAAACTACGTGTTTTCATCATTTAGACACCGGTACAGTCCACCGATCTATTACAGTAATAAAATTTATATTTACAGCCTTTTGACATAAATCTTGTTTGTAAGCTCAATTTTGTTGGTCATGTGTGCATTTAAGTCTCCTCAACATCAATAGTAGGGAGATCAATGGCTAGTATTATGTCGTATTTCAACTATGTTATTTCACACAAACTTTGCCGAAAGCAACCTTTTTGATAGTTTTTATAAGCATTTTATATTTTTTTTAATTGTATATTTTGATATTCTGTTTTTATATACCCTTTGTTTTCTTATGTCATATTCATGGTCTTTACTTTTTTAGAAATAGAAACAGAAATAGAAATAATCTTTATTCAAATAAACTTAATATAAGCACTTTTGAATAGTCATGTTTTTTTATTCTACCGCTTATTCGGAATGCAGATTCATCGCAACAAGAATAAGCAAGAAACTTGTGTGTTGCTCTTTTAAATAAATATCGATTTACTTATATTTAATTAACAACAAGGATTAGGCATGCGACAATCAACATAGAAACCGCTACACATTTAATCTCTGTACACCATATCATATTTTATTTCAACTAGGAACGTGTCTCATTTTAAACCAGCCTAAAATACAGTCGTCCGTAACAAGGAGTTTTGGTTGAGTTTAATATAATAATATTTGCGTATAATAATCGTGAATTTTATCACGTATGTGTGGAAATTCTCGAAATGCGTCTCATTTTGAGATTGTGGGTTTTGATACGCCCATTAATTATAGTGCTATTTCGGTTTAATCTCACCCCGCGAGCAACTGTCGCCTTGTCACCGTGTCGAAGTTAGCAGACATTTTTTATAGATACTGGATGTATAGTATATATTTATACACCTATAAGTTTACTTACAATAATATTCCTATTAAAATTTTAGTGGTTAATTCATCACGACAGGAAAGAATTCCCGAATTTTATTGTTAATGAAAATGTTTTTTTTTCGTTTGACTTTTGTTTTGTTGTTCAATATTTATGTACGTTTCAACACTGGGAAATTTACTGTCGCTGTTCGCAACATGTTGCAGTGGGTACAGAGTAGTCTAGTTCTAATGCAGATGCATAAATACAGTTTATAAATATTCTTTTTGACAAATAATATGAGAATGTTAGTAGTACTTTTTTTTTTCTTTTATTTACACACAGATTTATACAACATAATATAAAAACAATAAGCCGCAAAACTGCTTAGCAGTTTGTCTGCAGGTGTGGTTTGTAAAGATATGAGTTAAATTCAAGAATTATTGTTTATTTTTATTTTATTTTATTCTTTTTTATTTTATTCATGTATGGGTAATAGGAAAAAGGACTTGGAGTACGGAGAAAATGTATATGGATAGAGTTGACAATAGAATAGAATGACAATACAAGAGTGTAATTTAAAAAAAACTGCAGAATTTAAATACAAATTTAGAACACAAAAATACATTTGTGATTAGCCGGTTATAATAATTATTATAGCATATATGAATTTCTGGATGACAAAGATTTGTTCTTTATATAATCCTACAATAGTATGTATATATATATATATTTAAGTCATATTTCTACGCGTAATTGCAGAAGCAGTGAAACTTACTATCTATTGTAAGACCTATGTAGCCTGTACTTTACAAATAAAGATTTGAATTTGTAAATATTAAGATATTTTGTATTGTATTTGTAATAAGAACTTGTTAAAACCAAATGTATATTTTTATGTATATAACCTGGTATTTGAATCACCATCTACATATGTAACATTTAATTTCCTAGCCCAATGATGCGTTGACAAATATGTCTATTTGATATTCAGCCAACAATATATTTTTATGAAATTGTGGACATGTAATAAATGTCTTGATTATACTGTTCTTGAAATGCTACATGCATATTTAACCTATAAATTATAATCTGCTTTAAAAACCATAAACGTCCAATTCGTCATTGTTGATTTCTATAATTTATTGTCTATTAATTCGAACGATCGGTCATTTGCTACTGTGTTATAACACAGTTTCGTACCAGATAGACTCGGCTCGTTCCTTGACCAATATATCTTTATATAGAATCAAGAAAAATGGCCTGCCACCCAAGTCTCGTTTAATACTCCAATTCTAATTTTTTGGTACAAGAATTTTTCTCGGGTGTCACGATGCAGCAAATAAATATTGGTTGTGAATTGGAGAAATGAATCGATCTCGCTCTTATATATATGATTCCGAAATTTCATCTCTCTCACCCTAATAGCCGGCTGACAAACATGTATCAGCGGTTAATAGGTGCGCAGGCGCAGCTGTTGGGAACAAATCAGCTCGGATATAGCTGACAGTGTCAAAAAGCTAACACTGCGGCACGTGCGGGAAGCGGCGAGCGGCGAGCGGCTGAGTGGAGTGAGTACACAGCACCACGCCGGCAGTCGGTTCATAATTCACTATATCGAAGTATACTTGATGTAGAAGCACAATATGTTGAATATATTTTTTTTGTATAACAATTATTAATCGTGTCAACAATATACTTAGACTGTACGTTGTCTAAATATTGATATATACTTAATCTTATGTTGTAAAAAATTTGTTCTAACAATACAAACATGTGGATATTTGCTATTAAATTTAAACATATTAAATTATGATATGACTCATTTTATAATAAAAATAAATAAATTGGAAATCAATAATTTTTTTATAAATAAATATACAATTAATTATGAATAAATATTTTTTACTTAAATGCACAGTTATCATATACGATTAATTTTTAATAAAAATGAATAAATGCGAAATAAATAAAATGTTATTAAAAATATATAGTTAATTATGATTAATATTTTATAATACGTTAACAAATAAATAAATTATTGTATATGCATTATAATATTTTTTTATTTATTGTTAATATTTTTATGAATCCGTACAGATATATTTCTAATACAAATTTAATTGCAATAATTCTTTATATTATTTATATAAGGTTTATTTTACTGTTATTCGGTGTGTTTGCGTTTGTCACCTACGCCACGACTTAACTACGAAACATTACGAGGGTCGCCTCTGTTCATTCAAGATCGGAGAAAGCATCCTACGTACGTAAAAATAGATAGAATATTTATTGGCCATCTCTTCGAGATTCGATTTAATATTAACATTAGAAAAATATAGTACGCACGTGTTTGGGCATTGAATGCTAATTTCTTCAGGGACTTTGGGATTTGATTTTCTAATTTTACATTTAGATATTTATTATTTAATGCAGTAGTCTACTAATATTATAAACGTGAAAGTTTACTCAGTGTGGAACAACAACAAAACACTTATTTTCAGCTTCAACCCAGAGTTTTGAGAATATATCCTAATTATATGCTAAAAATATTTATGGTAGTGCAATTCTCTTGAACAATTAAAAATATACCATATTTATTTATTTATTTATTTATTAGCATACAAAACAGATTACAGTCAATATAATAATATAACTAGGAGCGTGTAGTTCGGTACAAAACTGGATTGTAATCCAACACTATGTATGTCTAAGAGCTAAATTATATAGATGCATTCAATATACGCTAGATAGCTATATAAGGTTATATAATGAAAAGTAAACTAAATAGAAAATGATATATAACTACGTAATGCAATGAATTATCATGTTAACAGAATTTTATTTACATTAAAGAAAAAAAAAATTGGTACAATATTAAATATAATTTGTCTCTTTACGGTGGAAATTTAATTGTCTCCGGAACTGGACCAGCGTTGAATGGAAAATATCTATATTTGTATTCGAGACAAGAATTTCATTGTATCGGCGACATATTCGAACTATTAGATTATTATAATCCAAGAAGTATTATTTGAGTAAACCTAAACATATTACTGTTAATATATGTATACATAGTTTAAGGTGATTTTATTCTATGAACATGCACATAACAACCAAAAGTAACGTATCTATTTACAATATTAATTAAGTTAAGCATGAATACATTATATTCTGTTAATAGTCGATTATTTGCCAAAATCACGCTTACCCCTTTACACTATCCGTATTTTTTTTTATATACATGATTAATAGAGGACTCTTTGGTTTTAGGAACTATCCATACATGCGGTGTCCACGCATGAGTTACTGAAGCCAAAAGAAGAACCCACATACTCGCTGGCTACACCCGCCAACCTCTGCTCTGTTAACTTACACCATGCAGGTTTGTTTTTTTTTGGTTTGATATTCATAATTGTACGCCGTTTTTTTGACACCTACCTTTTCCTTCCTTTTGTTATAAATAGCATACGCTGTAGCTCACTATCTTTTTAATTGAATTTAAAAAAGAATCTGTATTTTTATAATCATGTGCAAGTTCATTTTTTGAAAATAAAAGCCGAGTTTCTTGTCTGTTCGAAATCACCATGATCAACATGTTGAAGCTCATTTAAAATAATAACAGTGGAGTTTTTTGTCAGTTCTTCTTAGCTTGAAAACACTCCGATCTTATGGTAGAGTTGACTTATCGTAAGAGTCTGTAATATACCTATATGAATAAATATATTTTGATTTGATTTCATTAAAACAAAACATAATCATTCTTTTCTAATTAAAGAATGTGGTGGTTTTATTATATTTGTATATAGGTAAAAGGAATAAAGTTTTGGTATACGGAGAAAATATATATATATTTGCATATTTTCTCCGTATATATAGTTCTTTTTAATCTTCGCTCTAATGCCAATGTTTCTACGTCCCATTCCTCTGTCTTCAAAGAAAATACATTTTGTAGCGATGTCCATGCTTCGGCCGTAATCTGAGCATAGTTTACTGGACCTTCGATCCATCGTCTACTTTTGGACATCTATTTTCAAGGAATGATTAGGGCAATCATTCCTTACCATAACTAATAAAATAAGATCATAATGGACTATAAGCAATTCGACTTACAATTCTAAATTATGTCCCTTTACTTCATATGACATTTTTGACAGAAAGAATATTTATTCTTATAAACACAAAATATTTACCAATACTCGAATTAACTATAATGTAGAGCTTCGTGTTGATAACGTGTTGTAGTTTATATTTGTATATAGGTAAAAGGAATAAAGACTTGGTATACGGAGTAAATATATTTTTGGATAGTATTGACAATAGAATAGAAGTGTTGTATCAAAACAAGAATGTACAATAAAAGAACTATAAATTTAAATACAAATTTAGAATACAATATGAAATGCATTTTGTATTCTTAATTTATTTGTTTCTTATTAGCCAGTTACAACAAAACTAAAAAGATAAACCCATCCATACTTACTTACAAACTTTCGAGTCTATAAGATTAATAAGATTGAAAACTCTTTCTTACAATTAATATTATTTCAAATCAAGTATATAAATATGTTGTAACAAAATGAGAGTAATTGTAACCACTTAGGCAAATTCGGCACAGATAATAGGTATGTTACTTAATAAGTTTTGAAGAAAGGTTAAAAGAAAGATAATTAGAAACAATTAGGGTGATAGAGGCAATGATATTGTGCCTGTGGGAGTTCACATCGAGTCGAGAGAGACGCCGAGCCCCCTTTTGTCTGAATATCGGATTGCCCCCACAATATCGAATTTTCATCTTCAAGTCGGAGTCTAATTAGTGAACGCTTTCCTGTACTCAAAATTGGGCGTTATGTTATTTGTCTACGCATCAACATTTTGCATGTTAAGAAGGAAATCTTTTTTTTACATTCTCATTTCTTGTTTATCCTATGTACTGTAAAGAGATTTTAGGGAATTGATATTTATTACATTTTGATAAGGTTAATTTTCCAGAAATTACAAACTTCAAGTTATTTTATTTTATGCTCACTATTTCTTTGTTTTATTGTATTGTAATAAGGTTAATTTTTCAGAGAAGATATCTGTAAAATCTACCAAATAACAAAATTATATTTATTTTATAGTTTTTTTTTTGTACAGACGTTGGAGTTAATATACTAAATTCATAATAAACATTTTATTTTTGTGTGAGGATTAAACATTGGCGAAGTAACACTGAACGCCGAAGTCTGACCTGCCAGAAATATTATACTACCTACATATACATTTGGGGTTTAATATTATGAGATGTAAATAGTAAACAAAATCGTTTATCATGAAGTTTACAGGAGTATTATGTTGCCGTCTTGACATATAATGCTTTTATTGTATTCAAGTAGGTATAATTTATGTTTTGGTATACGTTGGTTTTAAATTGCATCTAATGGTGCTCTAAATCCCATACGATTAGAGTCCAAATTGGTGTATGTTCACCAGAGCCGAAGTTACTTCTTCATACGCTGTGTTGGCACGAACTTAGGAATATGTAATTTACGACTAAACCAGTATTGTTCATTGAGAACGGTCTCGGGTTGATTGGCGATATTAAAAGTGTCAAGCGTTCGGTGCCGGAAATTCATTGATAGATTTAATCGCTCTGCACTGAAATAACGTAAGCACGGTCGGGATTTAATTCGAAGAGTATATGACCAAGTCATTAATTCCGTCCGGTCGATCGGCTGCAGCACTAAAAACGGGTACTATTTTCGAAAAGCAATCGGCTTCTTGAGATATGATTTAAAAGCTGAATTGCATCAAAGTAACTTGCGTAGCGAGTGGTATATAATGTGTCTTATCCACGCTACGGATAGGCAGTGTTAGTGACAATGTCCATGTAATTGTTCGAACAACAAAAAATATACTCGTATAGAGAATTGAAGATTACGTTCAGTCTTTAGTGTCATTTATTTCTTTATGTGAAGTATGTCAACTTATAAGTGTTATAGCCTGATAACTTTTATCGAAATACAAAGATATTTAATTAAGATTTTGAGTATTTTATTGCTCCACGTGTCTGTAAGGACAATAAATAGTAATAAATCTAAAAACTATAGTATCAGCAACATCTTAGAGAACTATGTTATATGATTGTTATTGTATATAAAATAATTTATGTCAAACTAGCTATTCCCGCGATTTCGTCCGAGTGGAATTTAACTTTATTTTTCTAAAATAAAAGTAGCCTAAGTTTCTCCTTATTACATCAGATACCCGCCAAAAAAAGTCCCGTCAAAATCGGTCCAGGCATTTCAGAGATTAGCTGAAACAAATCGACCGACAGACAGCCAGACAAAAATGAAAAAAAAACGGTATTTTCAATATTGCAAACAGACAGACAAATTTTATTTATATGTATAGATGATGTATGTATAAATGGACAAGATGCAACGATGTCGTAACATATTGAAATTATTTAATTAATGTTTCTAGATTTAAAAAACCAGATGGAAAAATTTCTTATCAAGAATTTGATGATTTCTTACATTGAATATCATTTGTATCTATTAAGTTCTTCTCTTGAATAACTCGCTTTTTTTTCGTGCGATTCTACTTTCACGATATTTTACACTATTAAAATTTTTTTCAAGGCATTTAATGTTTTTAAATTTATTTAAATATTTTTTTTTTAATATATATAAGTTTAAAAGTATTTAGATAATGATTAAGACGGCGTGGTTAATTTAATTGAGTTATAAAAAAGGAGGCAATTCTAGCTTCTAATTTTGAAAAATGACTTTTTATTATTTAATCAACGTATTGTTAGCTTTCTTTCTGATTTACGCAGTCGATCCATTTATTTTTAATATTATTATGAAGAGAAAATATCAGTTAATATTTAACCGACTCTTATGTTTTTTTAATAGATTTTAATGGAATGGTACAGCCGCCTGCGCAAATGGTTTACGCTAACGGGGCACTAGAATAACATGAGAGTGAGGTTAAGTCAGTTAGCCTAAGGGCGGTAAACTTACCAGAAAATTATCATGGTGGTGTCCTGGGGAACTGCATGGAGATCAACTTGTATGGTATATCGCTAGTAATAGGGTAGTGGATACACATTACGTTGTATTGAAATATAATGACATACCATGGTGTTATGTTCATCACGAAGTGGACAATTGTGAAGCTGGAGCTGGTGAGGGTATATGTATATGAAACTACCACGTAACAAGATGGTAAGCTATTGTTGTATAGCTTAATAAAATGCAATGGCATGACGTAGTAAACAGTGATGTTTATATTAAAATCGACCTTCCACGAAATAGTTCGTGAGATCATTCAGTAATAATTATGTATTAGAAACGTGGAATGGTTTAAATTTTGACTTTGTTTATGAATACAATATACAATTACGCTTTTGAGTTAACATTGTTTCCGAAATATTACATGTTAATGATATATTTGGAATGGAGAAGGATATGGGTTACTTGTCCGTGAATCATGGTGGAGCTGATGCAGTTGTAGATATGTCTTTTAATAAAATTCTCATGTCATAGTGTTTAAGGTCCTCCAACAAAACGGATTTGCCGATTTTGATATATATTCGTTAGGTCTCAGAATAGGTTGTCTATTAGTTATACCCTTAAATGGTAAGGTTGAGCCAACCCCAAAAAAATATTTTTTGACTAACATTTTTTTATGATGTCGCGTTAAATTAGAATATATATTCTTTATCTCGTTTATTAGCATACAACGTTATAATTTTATTTTCTCATTGCTTTCTTGATTTAATTGATTGATTTTAGAAATATGAAAGCGTAGCGGTTTTTGTATTAATTGCCGCATGCATTCTTATGTAAAATGTGAATACTATAACTATCAGATGGCAATTGTGAGTAGCTTTGACATGGTCTAGTGTTTTGAGTAGTCATGCTCACTAAAATGTCCAGACTTGTGGCGGCGTGGTGGGCCGGGTCATTGGGCTCCCTAAAATATGGTCGAGCGCAGTGATGGCTGGCTCATCCGTCATACTCGTGAACGGGTGCTGCTTGTAGGGACTGGTCTGCTCTAATCACTATGACTGATTTCCTCCTATTAATTGTTTAACCAGTTGGTTATGTATTCAATATTTTTTCTTTTTGAGTATTTAATTGAATTAGTGCTCATTGGTGGTTTGTATTCACACACTTAAACTTAAAAATGTAAAGTAATAATAAAATTATTTAAAAGAGCAACACGCAAGTTTCTTGCTCGTTCTTCTTGTGATGAGACAGCTTTCCGAACGAGCGGTAGATTAAAAAAAATGTAATGACTATTCAAAAGTGCTTCAATGTAAGTTTATTTGAATAAATGATTTTCTATTCTATTCTATTCTATTCTTCTAAATTCTCAGCCTTCTATCAACAA